CACTACAGTGATGACAATTTTCCAGCACCTGTTCCACAATCTGCACCCACATGTCCAGGAAAACAAATTCAGTCCTCTGCTGGAGACAAAGCTGCAAACAGAACACTGTGAACAGCTCTGAGGTGCAAACCCACAAATTTTGTTCATATACACATACCAAAAAAAAAGAACACCAGCAATGTGACAGGAGATTAGGGTGACTTTATAATGTGATTTCCTGCATCTCAAACACACTAACATTATGTTCAAGGATGATGACAGATCTTGCAAAGTTCTTCTGCAATTTTTCAGGAAAAGAGGTTACTGCTCTTCCTAATTATCTTCTTGCCTAAGTGAAAAATTTGATTAGTTAGAAGTTTTCCACAGCTGGCCAAATTAAGCTGGTTGATCCTGCACTGGCACTGATCAATCAAACAGGATGCTGGTGTACAAAATGTCTCCCTCTCTCCTGCAGGTGTAGGTTTCAAAGTAGTAGCAATTGAAACTGCATGAGAGAAGATTGACAAGAATCCCATCCTGGTCCTTTAATTCCACTGTCAACCTTTTGGACAATCATGTACTAGTATCCAAAGCAAACACAAGGCTCTTTTCTGCTCTTCACATCCTTCTACAAACAACTGCTTTTAAGCATCAGCCTTCATCCCATGTTCTTCTTCCATGTTCTTGTACTGAAATTTTGAAATCGCAGCACACAATGCAACACCAGTGTTGCAAATATAAATTATTTCAATTTTAGGGATGATTTTGCTAAAAGGAGTAGAGGAATGCCATTTTCACAACTCTGTGATTAGAAAAATTTTCTTTGTGAAGTCTTTTCTCAAAATCAAAACACTGTACAATATTTAACCAAAAAAATCCCCAACAAAAAAAAATCTAAAAAGAAAAAAAATCACAAGCACTAGATTAATACACAGACACAACTGCCAGTTTAATTTGAAAGCTTTCCCAATTTCTGGATTTAATATGGAGAAGTTACTGAAAGCCAACTGAAAGTTTACCTGAACTATGAGCTATTGCAAATATTTTATTAAAATTTAATTCAGTTGCTCTAACGATAAATAAGAAGAGAAAATTTCAATAGGAACTCACATCTACTCAGTAGCACACATCAATACATCTCGATAGTGTAACACTAACAAGTTTGATAGGTGCAGATTATTTTTAAACTTTGGTAGCTTAGCAGGGAACGATTTGTATTTGTAAACAGGCAACACTTTTGTAACAGGTGTCAACTGCACTTAGTGATAGAAAACAAAACCAAAGCATCTTCAAAAATTTGAACCAAAATATGTCAAAGACAATACCACTTTTTTTAAGATAGATATGTTAACAACATTTCAAGGTGAATTTTGACACATTATAAAGACGAAAAAACAGTTTCAGGTATCAGAAGTGACAGAGTCAAGCTACAGCTACATAAACTGAGCCACTGTGATTCCCAAAGCACAGAACACACATGCTGAAAGGATGAGATATAAGTCATACTTTGTTCACTGAAATATTAGTGCAGTGGAGTGTGGCCAAGTGATATCCTCACAAACCTCCTCTCAGCAGCAGTTGGATTCCAGGAGCAGCAATCAGCAAGTATAGTTTCTCGTTAGAGAACATGGAGGGAAAATGCATCATGCCTCAAGCATATAAAAGCTACAGATGATTAGCATCTTCATATAGAAAATACACACATTTTTATAGGAAGTCAAAAAAATCAGCGAAAAAAAGAGGATGTATCTTATTCAGTTAAGTAACTTTATCATCACTTTGGTTTTTGTGGGCATATCAAAACACTAGCAGTATTACTAAAGGTTACCATTAACCTTCATGATCATAAGAAAATAAAGCTATGTCAACTTGATTTTAAATGCTGAGCAAAAATCAGCAAAAATATTGTCAAACCCAGTTTTGATTAGTGCTTTTTGCAAGTAAGAATAAACTATGCTCAACTGACATGATTCATAGCTATCAAAGCTTCAAGTAATGACAAATAGCTTTAGAAGTTATCTAAAACTCTGGAGGAGGCAGAACCAGGGGGTGGACTAAACATTTCCAGTTTTAACAAACATAAAACTGGAGTAAAAGCAATTAAAGCTTTCTAGGAACCCACGGGCATTGGTCACACCAGTCACTTCCGTAAAACTGCAGGGGATGTTTACCCAGCTTCACAGCTCTTTCACTCCTAGCACAAAGAACGAGATTTCACGGATTATCAGTTACCAAACTCCCCATCCTGCTGCTGCAGGGCAGCTGGAGCTCCTCTGCTGTGAAGTCAGAGCATTTCCAGAGAAGCAAAGCAGGAGCTTCCCAGCCCTGCGTGCCTGCACTGCCCCAGCACTGCAGGCAGCTCACAGGATCCCCTGCAGGACTGGCACACCGGGCATGCCACAGCGAGCCCTCAGGCTCTTCCACAAAACCCAATGCTGCCTGCCCTACTTGAAACATCAGGCATCCAACTCTCATGTCTTTTTATTAATTGAAAAGGAGCATTTGATAGCAAAGGACTTTTACAGACAAGCTTCCTCCCATTTTCTGTACCTTTGAAGAGAAAGACTGGATTTCATTAAAGAAACTAAAAATAACAGAAAAATGTGGAGCGTGTTTTCTAGAAAACTAGGACTGCAGAATATCAGTGGGAAGAGAAACTCAAAAACATTAAGAGCTCTGGCTCTTTAACACTCAGTATGTTCAAAAGTTTGACAGAGATGCAGCAGTGACTAAATACTGATATCTACCATTTTCCTCACTGAAGCATTGTTTAAGCATAATATGTAAATTTACACTTGTAACAAAACTGCCATTTATAGTTCACTGTACAAAGTAAGTAATTTTCTACAAGTACTTGTGACCCATCTGCCATAAAAGTTGAAAGGTGGTTAAAGCCATTAAACTGGGGAAGAAGAGCTATGATAACCTTCAAACAGCCTGCCTTCTGTCACCACACAAAACACTGCTGCCCCAGTCAAAACTGCACTACACCTGAAACATGGAGAACAGAGCTGCCAGACATGTTCCAAATTAAACCATGAAACTTGGAAGATGTACAAAGCTGTACCTCAAAGCCCATGTCAGCTTAGTGTGGGACTGCAAACACCACTATCCAGGACAGACAACCATTTCAAAATTAAATCCCCCATTCATTCAGCCAAGTATATCTTAGATTTCCAGAACTGGGTGTGACCAAAAGTAAATTATACCCCTACACCTAAGAAAATGGCATAACATCTGAAATTTTTATTTTTAAGTCTGGAGACCAACTGGTTTAGTATAAATATGAGTAAAGCATTTTCAGTTTGTGCACTTTCACAGGAAAAAAAAATATCTACAGAAAGTATCAAAAACCAAGAATGGATTGCTCTATTCTGCAGGAGGAAACTTAATTCTCTTGTTTGCTGAGCTAAGAGAATCTACTTTGTACTGTCACTAATCATGTACAAAATACAGTGATGTTCAACACAACTTTACCTCTCCTTTTACTTGTCCTGTTACCCTACCACGTGTGATTGCCATGTGTTGCCTGTTTCTTTGCATACATTAAATATACCTTAGACACATAAACAATGTTTTTATTGATTTCATGAAAACCATATATTTTAAGAAAAGTAACCGTCTAACAAGGATATGGAAATTTGAAGGCTGAACACTCACAGGCATTTCAAGATGGGGATATTGTATCTTTTTAAATAAAGTAAAGAAAGTAGAGAATTAGCTAGGTCGAAAGAGAATTTCTTCTCAGCTTTATGCCATGTAAGAGCTCAACTGTGTACCTTGTCATGGATCAACTGACAGGCAACAGCCCTCACCAAAAAACACCTCAAAACACAAAGAGGTAACAACAGTGTATTCTGTTATGGCTGCTAAAAAAACAACAAAGATACCTTCTGTCCTAAAGAAAATGCAGTTTAACACATCCTCAATAAGGACCAAATCCTTCAGCCTAGAACTATAAAATACCTTTGCTGAGCTACCCAAAGTTTGTGTCACCATACTATACTCCATTCCTATCAAGCCACTTGCTTACCTATTGTTACCTTAATTAATACAACTTGGTTAATTCTCAAACTGCTTTCTGCAAAATTACCAACTGAACCAAGCTAAGTCAAAGCCTAACAAGCCTTTCTTCAATATACTCAGGCATGCAGAGCTTAAAGTCTACAGCACAAATCTGCAATGATCTGCATCTGACTTCCTGCCTGGCATCCATGAAAAAGACCAATTCTCTGAAGGACTCTGCTTCCCATGCTGGCCATTACCACAGGCAGTAGTAGTGTGCATCACAACAGCTTTGAAAATGCACAATCCCCAGATCACTTCCCATTACAGCTCTTCCTACCAACATTTTATAATTCTTATTTTCACTTCACCTTCACCAACACCTCCTTTCCAGCTTGTTGGCATACAAGTCTCACCCTCCAGTCCCCTGCCTACTACCCTTGAACAGGAGCAGCCTGCCTGGGTTCTTCTTAGTCACTTTCTACTGTGACTGCAGAGATTCGGCGTTCAGTGTCCACCCACGAGGCTGAAAACTGACACTTGGTTTCAGGGCGGGCATTGGCTGCCCAAGATACACAGTTCATCAGGAACTTGGACCACACCCTGGCAAAAGGCAACAAAGAAACTTCATGCTCTGAGGATCTGCAAAGTTTAAGGATTTACAAAAGTTTAAGGATTTCTACTTCCATCTCTGTCTTTTATTATTAACACATTCCACATTTCCTTCTTCATGAAATTAGACAAACTGCCATGCACTGCCAGCAGAAGAAAATGAAACATCATTACTGCAGATTTCCAAAAACCCAGATGCTTTTTAGGTCTTCAATACAAGGCTAATGAAGAAAGGCATACCTGTTACATAGCAGAGGATGAGGACTGTCTTGGCTGGAAAAACCTGATGGCTTTGAATTAAATGGCAGAAGTTGAATTGTAATAGACATTTACTCCACAGTTATTAATTACAGTACTACAATGCTGTCCTTAGCTAGAGAAAACAGGTAAGTAAGTCTACGTACGCATCAGATGAAAGATCCCATCACAGGCGTTAATGTGAGACAAGAAGGAATTTCCCAAGCCTTGTCCAGTGTGGGCTCCCTTCACCAGGCCAGCAATATCCACCACATTCAGAAATGCTGGAATTTTGCTGAAATATAGAAGTTAGAAGTTTCATTACTAAAGCATATTAGCCAATATTTTTGGCACAGAAATAAATTCAGAACATGAAAATCCAACACTTCTTTGCTGAAACAAGTTAAACATCACAGTGTGGAACACACAAGACAAAATTCCCCCCATCCTATGTAAAACTTCCATTCTCTAAGTTCTCTGTAAATATTTATGTAAAATGAAGTAAACAAGTTTTGAAGTGTGGAATCATACAGACAACTACACAATAATCAAGCAGGCCTGGAAGGCTGTGGCATAAATATATCATGTGCAATGCACAGTTTCCACAGGACCAAAGGGATAAACACAAAAGGCCACTGCACTCTGCTATTGCACACCTCCAACGTTACCATTTAGTTCAGCAGGTTATGCAACTTTCTCAGAAGAGCACTTTTTTTTCATACAGTGCTGATTATAATTAGCAGTGACCAGGGTAATGCAAACAATTTGGAAAAAAAAAACAGATAAAGGTAAGTTAAGATGGTATTAGAATATAAACAGTTGTGATGTTTTCCACCATAATGAAGAGCAAAAGGTTAAGCAGACATGTTCCCATAATATTTTATACAGCAACAACAGAATAGTCATTAAGTTCAAATTAGCTGACAAAAAAACAGAAAGAAGCTTTTAAAGTTACGGAAAACTTACAAACTGCAAACCTATCCTCCACAAATTCTCAACTTGTTAAAAAATGAACAAATAAAATAATAGGCATTAAACTTTACATGTAGACTCTAAACCAAATTGCTTCTCAAAATCGAGCTGAATCAGAAGAAAACCCAAGAACCCACTAAAACTTTGTGATAAGGTGTTGACTAAAAGAACCTTCATATGCTCTATGCAACTAACACCATCATCATGAACAGTGGCAGAGACAGAAACACAGTGAAATGCTGCAATTCCCCCACTTGCAAAAGACCAGAAAATGTACACACCAGTCTCAAAACCTCCAGCTCGATGGCTCCAAAATAAATAGGTGGAAGAGTAGTTCATTCCTATCAACCACTTCATCACCACCATACTTCGTGAGCACTATGCTAGGACTAATACAGCAGCTGACCATTTTACTGGCACTAAGTACAGCAGCAAATCCCAAACCCACAGCTTCCACACAGCCCCAAGGAGAGGGGTGTGACTATCCCATGGGTGAAAAGAGCTGATCTGGAAAGCACTCCCCCTGTTCTGTGGTGAGTGTTCTCAACAGGACATTCAAATCCTAAGATATAAATTCTGTGGTTCACCTTAAGATGCCTTTTCCAAAGCCCGACCTTTGCAGGGCTGCCCACAGACAGAAACAACCACAAAGGTGGGAATGAGGGCTAGGGATAACCTACCCAGTAATCTCCTAGGCAGTATTACACTTCTGAAAATTTATTGTCCACAGCCCAAACTAAGCTTTATTTTTATTAGTGTGACAACTTGCTGATAAATACATGTTTTCAAATACTGAATATTTGATAGCATGATTACTGTCAAATCTGTAACAGCAGCAAACTCCACCAGCAGGAAAGCCACCTGTTTCATCACAGTGCCTGGTATGGTAGATACAGCTCTGTGAATCTTTGTCTCTGCTCTGAGCAACTGACTTAGGTAGAACAAAACACAATTCCAACTTTTTTTCCTTTGGTGCTACCCCACTTTCATTAGGCTGCAAAAAAATCAGCAGATGAGCTTCCTCACTTTAAATTACCTCTCTTTGGGGAGATATGATACACTAGAATCTGTTTGAATATGGAACATCAATTATTTCTGGAAGAGTGGTGATCTAAAGTTTTGTTTTCAACCTTGCTCTAACACTTCCAAAGAAAAATTATTCATTTTAAGTAAAATAATTTCACAATACAAGATCTGGACAAAATCTTTTTGTTTACTAAGGTGAAATTCAAAGTGTCACTAAACCTGTCAGGTATAATACCTTAGGAACTTAGTGACATGCTCCACGTAATTAATATCTTTGTGATTTACTCAGAAAGAAACAATTATGTAACACAATACAGTGTGTTACTTACATTCAGCTAACACAGCAGTAACTTTTAACTTCACTGGGCCCATGAAAAGAAGGGTCCGTCCTTGGGAAGACAGATATTGTGTGCTGCGAGTTAATGCTGTGGAATGCAGTCAAAAGTACACTAATATAAGTATACTATGACGTAAACCAATTTTACAAATTTCACTTTTTTGCCCCACTACATTTTTTTAACTACCAGTACACAAACTCAGAACAAATCCTCATTTAAGACACAAGGAAGAATAACCCACATTCTGAAGACAGAAGCCAGTAAATATGAATGCATTAACCCAGTAACTCCTTTTGCCTGATACAAGAACTAACACACTTCAGAAGTAACTGCAGGCAACTTCCCAGGCCTTGCTTTTTGACATTTAACTACTCAGCAGCAAGACAGAAAAGGCCTCTCTTTAAAGCACTTCTCTATTGTCATTTTAAACCGTGTTTTAAGGAAAACAAAGGTGGTGTAAAAGTGTTCTATGCTCCCCTCTCACCTTTCTGGTGGGATTAACCTCCTGGCCAGCCATCAGAACAATTCACACTTTCACTACAAAGATGCCACAGTAGGGCAAGACAGATACCTTCATATGCAGATGTCGACTCTATCACCAGAATCAACCTCATTTGCTACACAATGGAAAGAAAACCCCAGCACATTTCTTTCACAGCTGAGTAACACAAGCAAGAGACCTTTGAAGTGTGTAGGTTTCCAGGGCGCTTTCTCACCTTCACTTCGGGTACCACAAAGTTCACATTCCAAGCAAATTAAAACTATTCCCGCTGTTAGACATCTTCCGGGTCTAAATCTGTTTCATCGTACAAAGATGGACACACAGAAAAACAGAAAAAGGCACAAGGTAGTCACACTTGCCCTTACACTGAAGGACAAAGAGTCAACACTGTGAAACTAAATAACCAGAGAACACTGCACAGAATGAGGGGAAAGTACTGTGCATATTGAATATGGTTTATTGAAGACTTAACTGCATTTTGCTTTTTTTTCCTCCTTCTCTAAACATATTAATTTCAATTTCTTAAGATTTGTTAGTCAGCATTAGCATAATGTCACTGAGCCTCAAATGATCATCAGGAACAGGTGGCATCAACTCATCATTTGTACAAATCAGTGCTACACCAATCTACCATAAAGCACGTCACAAGGATTTATAACATGAAACAGAACACCAAATCAGAAGTATCTCTATATTTTAACCACAGGTTTAATTCTTGAGCAGGGATTTTTTACCTCACTTGGAAAAGCATTAGCATTGAGTTTGTGTTAGTATACCAGCTTCACTGTATGAGCAACCACACAGTAAAGAGCACAAGACTCACTGGGCCAGATAAAGTACAGTTTTGTAGTCTGGTAGTTAGGGCTTTTTCAGGAATAAAAGGCTTATGCATCCATAGGGTTACATATTTGCAGAAAAGAGAAATTCTTCCTTCCTGAAAATTCATACAACTTAAGTAAGAGTCATCTGTTACCGTTCACAAATGACCTGAAGTAAAAGCAGCAAGACAAAGAGAACATGCATATTGTGGCAATCTCTTTGAGAGCCATTCAACTCTGTCTGTCCTCACCGCTATTTCTGGCCAATTTCCAAACAGAACAGTTTGGAACTCCCTCTTCCAAGAGACTGTTACAGCTCCCACAATCAATCTTGCAAGCAGTTTTGACCAATGCAAGCAAAACCCCTCACTGGGCAGTTAAAGGAATCTGTTTCCAAAGAAAGAGGTACTGCAGATGAACCACGGTCATTTCTAAGCAAGAATGATTTCATTAATAGCATTTTATCCATGGTACTGACAAACAAGACTTGAACCTAATGGCACATAAACCAGAAATGAAAAATCTGCTAATTAAATTGTGCTTATATGAATTATAAGAAGGTAAGAGAGACTCAATGTGGATTACAACACATGCTCCATGTCCTGTACATGACAAACACCTGCATTCTCAAACTATTCAGTAAGTTATTACACCAACAAAATACAACTAATTACATTTTGCCTCCTCTCATCAGGCAGAAAAATTGGCTCAAATCACCATTACTTAAGACTTGTCATTCACTGCTGACAAACAAGCAATGCCAGAACACACATCACAGCCCAGCTGGTTTACACAGCTCAGAACAAACTGAAGAGCAGGCAAAGTCAGTAACACCTAAGGAAAAAGAACATTAACAACGGGATATAGTTACCACTTCCCAACAATTTTCATTAAAAAATGGGATTCTTTTACAGATGCTGATATGTTAAGAGTCCCAGCCTGCTAAGTTATTGATCACTCCCTTTGAAACTACAGGTGGTTCCCATTTACATAAATGCTCTTCTTAAACATGGCCCAAGTCCCACATGATGTCCCTCAAAGTCCCTCTGCTGATCTGTTTTCTACAAAATGCTTTCCAGCAACTGTTTACATAATTTTGACTTTAAAACTTTATCATGTACCTGAGTATGCTATCCTACAATGAATTCAAGGGAACTTTCATTTAATATTGCACAAGATTTTTCTGATGTAGACAGCGATGGGATTTACTCAGATTTAGTTCAGTAGCCATCACTGGGCAGTAAAGAGCTAAATGAATGCATTTTATCAATCTGCAATGCAACAGAACAAATCAAAGCAATCTGCTGACAAAAAGAGATCCTGAAGTATAATGGACAGAGGTGGAATTTAAAAGGGGTGTGAATACCTAGTTAAAACTTAGGTATTATCCTCCTTTGAGATAACAAAAATTGCTTTAAAATTTAAGTTTGAGAAGGACATGAAGACAGACTAGAAATAGTCTACGTAGAAGAGAAACATTTGTAGTCGCAATAAACTTTGTGTTTGGGAACACGTGTGCAAGGCAACTCACAGGTGCAAACCAGGAATGAGACAAATACTGACAACTTCTTAAGCAGTTTGATTCATCCCTTCTCTCAACTTATTCCTCCTTATAATCTCATTTGATTTAAAGCAAGGGAGGAAGCAGAAACATAAGACTTCAAAATGACCTTTTCATTAAGATTTTCAGACAGGCTGATTCCTATCAGCCAAAGCAGTCATTGGGTGTAATTACTTACAGTTAGGCTGCAGTTAATTACCTCAGGCTCACAGTGCTTCTTCCTGAGTACTTCTTTTAGTTAGTCATGTAACTTAAAGTAGAAAAAATGCAAATAATTGCAAAGTGAGGAGATTACTGGGGCACAAAATAAATGAAATAAGGAGGAAACTGCAGTTTCCTCTATCACCTCAGTGAAAATCATTTTGAGGCTGGACTCCAGTGTCACTTGAGGCACATCTCCTCGTCAGGCACAGCACATCACAACTGTGGCAACAGGCTGGGGGACCTATGGCCTAAGAGTGGTGGGTACAGACACCCAGAGGCCTTCAAGCTATTTGTGAGCTAGGACACAAATCACTGCTCAAATTACATGAGTTTGACATGCTTACATTTTAAAAACGTAGTTCTAAGTTTAAGGTGATTAAGCAGCACTTTAATTAAATTTAAAACAAAAAAAACATGATAATGAAGAAAATAGCTTCATTAAAGCTTTTATTAAGTTACTAAAATTGCTTCAGATGCACTATGCACACAGTTCTTTTTTTGTGTGAGATACTCATCACTCCTAAACACATAGTGTCCCATAAAATATTAATTGCAGTTAACAGAGCAACTCTTTCTGGCTTCCATGTCATAGTTTTCATGTCAGGAGCTATTTGTTAAGATGAAAAACATCTCTTTTCCATTACAGAATTAGCAGACCTCATCCTCTGCTACCTACTTAGTATTCATAGATAGGTGGGGGGAAATACACCTTTCTGCTTTAGTTCCTGCTGAAGTGAATCAGTCTACAGAAAATACTCTCTTTCCAGTTACAAAACTGGAACTAATCCAATCTTTAGTCTATAAAACCTTGCTTCAAAGTATCTGTACTGCAGTAACAGAGGTAGGAGGACAACAAAATTAAAAATCAACCATCTCCTTTCTGAGAAAGCTACAGATGGGCACAATGTAACAAATGAGTTTTCACTGAATATTGTATGAAATTCATAACAAACAAATAAGTAGTTTAAATACATACATTAAGTTAGTAACATAATATAAACAAATACCTTTAAACCACGAGCATTCAGAATTGTGTTTAATATATTAAGATTTCTTTTTTTTAGTATCTGCAGTTTCATTCACACTAAAAAGCACACAGTAGTAACACTAAAGCTCAAAGAAATCATCTATATCATTTGGCAACAGCATAGCAGCTTTTACTGTAAGTTCTTAGAGCCCACCTTCTGTGTACAGTCTATATCACTCAACTTATTTACTGTCAATAGTCACACACATCCCACTGCTGCAGAAAGAAAAAAAGCATAGGTTACAAATTCTGCCAGTGTACCTTAATCTATCAAATACAGATTTACTTGTAGATAATTGTCTCTCAATTTTTGCCTATGTGATTTCACTTACAAACATTTACACTTCCAATTAATACCAGTCAGCTTTCAGCATGGGCTAACAAGTGACAGCACAGCAGCCCCAATGAAGCTGATCCATTCCTCTCTTCTCTTCTGGAGACAGGAATGGATCTCCAAGCAGCAAACAGCACCTGAAGATGCCAACTGTTCCTCCATGGCAGATGGGCAGAGCTAACTCCCACCAGCAATGCCCCAGGCAACAGAGTGACTGTGGCTGCAGCAGAGCAGCCCCAGCTCAGTGGCACAGACAGCACCGCCCAGCCCAGCCCTGCCCCTCTCCCTGCAGGCACCAAGGCAAGATCACCCTGTCCTGTCACACACTATTTCAGCTAAGACAAAGTCACCCCTTTTTTCTTTTCCCCATCTCCCAACAATGACTGCAGTTTTATGAAGACTAAGTGTAACATATGGGAAATAAAAACCCAAATGCTTTAGATTTTGAAAGACAAAATCTTGAGGCTAGACAAGAGTCCAATTTGAAGAGAATTCACTGTTTATAAACATTGTGTGTGCACAGATGGATTACATCTACTAATCCAAACAAGTAGAAAATTACCACAGAATGTATTACATAAAGATGAAGAACAAAATCAAGACTATACAGAGAAATTAAGACATTTAAATTACAATTCAGTAGCCTATCTTTGTGACTACAGCCTTCTTTTCCTGAGTTAGTCTGAGGCAAACAAGCACAAACAGCCCAGTAAGTTACCTCAGTCTAGTGTCCTACTGGACTACCACTAATTAGCTCTGCTTTATTACTGTTACAGTGAAATACGAAAATCATATAAGCAGCATAAGTGAACTCAGAAGATATAACTATCCACTAATGCCCACATCCATTAAGTAACAAATGTATGTAGAAAGTCAAAAGACCATTCAAATAAAAGCTGATTATCCAGCTTGCTATCAAACTCAGTATATTTACTGAGTAAAGACAGAAAATATACTATTTTCATTAATACTTTAGAGCGATGAGTTAGGAGGGAGGGAAGGAGAATTTGTGAGCCAAAGAACACACATACAAGTATTTACAATCTTAGCACTCCCTGAGAAGATAGATGGCCAAAGGCAGGGTGAGGGAAGAGGTAAGAATCTCTGTGTCACTTCAGCTATTAATATGGGAGTAGCCCTTCATAGCTAAGAGAGAATAAAAAGGGATTACTGACAGGGCCAAAGCAGCACTAATAGTACAAGTTAGAAGAAAACTGGCAACAAAACTTAAAAGCTGTGTCATTACTTCTGCACAGTCAACAGCCTGAAAGCTCTGTCTCTAATTCAGCAGTTTTAAGATCCATGCAGTAACCATCATGCTTAATACTGACTTGAGCAGGAAAACAAAATAACATGTTATAACAATCCACCTAAACAAACAGCTTAATATTAATGCAGTATTTAAAAACTGCACAATAGTTACAAACAGAAACAGCTTGCTTAGACCTGACAATTAAGTCAGAAAATGGATTTTTGGTTAGCAACTAATCAATCTTTTTTAACTGTGGATGAGATCTGGCTCTAAAACTGAGGCCCAAGAGTTGGAAAAAAAGCACATGTGTGCATGCTAGTTTGCTCCATGATTTATGTACTCTCACTTGATTCAGGATACCTCTGCAAGTAAAATTAATGAGTCACAAGTGACTAATTAAGTTCCTGTTTTCTGAAAGCACCTTAAATTTTGCTGTTCAAGCAAAAAAAAGAAGTTCCCACATTGAACATACACAGCAGATTACAGTCAATAGCAAAAGAACCAAAAAATGATGTGACAAAATTAACACACTCCTGGAATAATGAAAGAATCAGGACAAAGGTACAAGTAGCAGAGCCTACTGAAAGGAGAGGAAGGAGAGAAAATCGGGGACAAAAAACGACTGCCACAAAACTCATCGCCAAATAACTGAGGATGCAGGGATAATGAGAGATATTTGTTTAGCTTCATAGAGCACATACAATATTCTGAATGTTTCAAAGTATAGGGTGGAAATCTTTCAAATGAGCAACCTTATGACAAGTTAAGTATGTCCACTACTTTATTTTCCCAATCTCTTCAGAAGATCCTCCGTGGCACCTGGGAGCAACCACCTTCAAAGACAGGAACAACTAGCACCAAATGGTGCTGAGCAATGACTGAGAGCTCCTACATTTACCATTCTTATAAAATAAAGGTCTTATCAGGGGTGTGGGAAAGGTAAAATCCAGGTAGACATATAATTTCACATTCTAAAACGATGTCAGTAACAAACTTCCAGACATTATAGTTGCATTTAACTTTCATGAAAAGTTTTGGTTCAGTAACACTACTTCAGCTGCCTAACTGCAGAAAAATATTAAGAATTACCTTGGAGGTTTGTGATACTGGCATAGGAAGTCAAATCTGTCATCTGGCACAGGCACTCGACTCTCATTCGGATCAATAGTACAGAAAGGAAAATTTTCGGCTGCCGCTTGACTCTTTGTTAACACGTTGAAAAACGTTGATTTCCTATAAATGACATACAAACATTCTTAAAGTAGCTCAATTTAGAAGCATTTAAAAGTACTGGATTAAACCCCATTTTAACCCAAAGCAATACTGAGCTTTCCATTTACTTCAACAGCAGTGACATTCCCCTGATTCTAGCAGAAAGCACACACATCTGGAACGCCCCACTGAAACCCAGTGATGCTTACCTCTCCTCTCGACCCTTTAAAACTCCCCTAAGTATGTATATTGTGCACACATATTAGCAAAAAAGAAGTCAAAAGCAAGGCACAGCCCTACTGGTTATTTCTCATTTTCTTCAAGTACAGCGAGACACCAGTATGGATGCCTGAAACTTTTAACTAGTTTTGCCATGACTCACCCTTTCCACAGGTGTATATTGTTCCTAGAGATTTATTTACATTGTGACACAATTTCAGTATCTTAGCAATAAAAGTCAACAATGAAAAGAGAAAACAAGTGGCACAAAAAGCAAACCACATCAGTTAATCAGTTACCAATAATCTTTGGTGTATATAAAGATACAGTTATACCTTACCAAACTATTTTCATCCTTGTTAAGTATCAGTAGCAACAAGTCTACTCTACCAGGGGAAAAAAAGAGAACACTTTCCCTTAAACCAAGTAACAGATTACTTTGTTAGCTGGCATTTATTAAGCCAAAAGAGCAATTCTTGATTTATTAACTCCCAAATTTTCTACAATAAATATTCAGGTTGTTGTAATTTTCAGAGCTGCTCTGCATACAGCCAACAAGCTCAAAAGTCACTAACAATTTTCTTTGAAAGTTACCTCATAACATAATTGAAAATGCTATTTATCCCCATTGACATGCAGTACAATGCTACAGCTAATTACTTCCTTTATGGAGTACATCTTAGCTACACCCTGAAAAATAAAATAAATTATAATGAAAACATAAGAAGCAGTGCTTCCAACTTTAAGACATGCACACAACCTAATTTGTTAAAGATTGAGAATGATGAGACCTTCTCACAGCAAACAGGATAGAGAAATTTAAAACCAAAAAGTTTCACATGTATATGCTCCAGGTAATCAATTCATTCTCCTTTTCAAGTAGAACTCCTATGAGGAGCCACAACAACTACAGATGAGAAGCATGACAGAAATTAATTATTAACATTCCAGCATCTCTTCCAAACTGTCACTTAGGCCTGTCTCACTGAGAAGACTTCTTCTCTGAAGAAGTTTCAAGAAAGAAAGTCTTCTTCACTGCTAATGACATGGAATAATTAACCCCTTGTTGCACATCATCCCAAGACATAAAAGGAATTTGTTGTGCACGTTTGCCTAAGTATTTGCACGAAAACATGCATTACGCATTCACAACAGTGGAAGTAAGAAAACAGAAAAGACAAAATACACAGGGTTTTATGAAACTCAGCAATTACTAAGACTTTTCCTTTCTTTGAACCCTTGCCGATTATCCTGTCCAGACTCGTACACACCTGCCTATCGCTGCCAGTTTTGCGTCGCTCCAGCTGCAAGTACTTCCAGCTAAAGATGGAAGCGCATCACTGAGCAGTGAGACTCGTGTCCCCCAGCTCCGGTCCGCACCTGTCCGCGCCCACCCTGCGCAGGGCACCCGCGGGAACACCGGGCAGCCTCCCCGC